TACAAAGTGTGTCAATAATTATGGCCACGACTATATATATATATATATATATATATATATATATATATATATATAAATATATAAATTCTCACTTTCGTTTAGTTTAACTTGAATTACTAAAATAACAAAGTAAATCAACTAAAATGTATAAGTAAATATTATTTAAAACTATAGGCATTTTAAAAATATTTAAAAACAACAAATTTACTAAAACTTGTGTTCCCTTCAATTTACTTCTTAACTTTTCCTTACTTGGCCTTAAGAAGGACTTTAGAAAGTCTTAAATGTACCTGCAGGAGCGTCGTATGGCTCAGATAAAGCTGTGATGGAGGTGTGCAAGCAACAGAAGACTTGCGCTGCATGAGAAACACTGTTTGCGTTCTCCCTGCAGCTCAGGAGTGTGAGGAGATGACAGACCTGGATCTGAAGCATACTCTGTCTGGGACGTCTCTGAATGTGAGGCTCCTGCTCTACACTCGGGTCAATGCGTCCTGCGCTCAGCTGCTGTCCCATCGAGAGCCCTTCAGCAGCCCTCGCTTCAACCTCAGCTCCCCGAGCACCTTCCTCATCCACGGCTACCGGCCCACCGGCTCGCCTCCCGTCTGGCTCACTCAGTTCGTGCAGCTCCTCCTGCAGCGCCGCGACATGAACGTGATCGTGGTGGACTGGAACCGTGGGGCCACCAACATAAACTACTGGAAAGTGGTGGATAACACACGCAAGGTGGCCGCGAACCTCACCGACCTCATCCAGAAAATGGAGGTAAAAGAAAAGTTCCTCAGTGCGATCAAGTCAAGGCAGCTTTATGAGACAATAATGTCATGGTTCAGCTTAAATCAGTTCAGTATTACTGAGTTTTCTAACCGACAATGATTATGGTGTATTTCATTGAAATTGGAAGTAGATGCTGTCAGGAATTTTTATTTACTGATTTATTTTATTTTTGGGTTATTATCTGGTTACAGATTATGAATCTTTTTTCACTACAAAATGTTAGCACTACAGAAGCCCACAATGCTAATTTCTAATGCATAATACTAATACTAATTAAATGTCCCTTAATTACTGGACAAGTGTTGGACGCCCCATGAAATCTAAATTATTTTGTAGATTTTAGAAATCTAAAAGCAAACGCAAAATGAACATTTAACAGCTGTTCACTTTTAAAGTTGCATTGAAAAGAACGTATCAATATATATTTTCTTTGTGTTATGAATTGCATCCAAGTGTAATGGATTATTAAAAAAGAAAAGTAAAATGTTGGGACAAGGTTCTGTCCATCCGTTGTTGACTGAATTTTGAGATGCGCATGTTGCCTTCAAGAATAAATGCAAGCTTGCAGTCAGTAGCATAAGCAGTGAGAGAGTCCTGACCTAATAGCACCCTACCGATCAGCCAGCAGAAAACGTCTCGGGTTACGCATGCAGCCAAGGTTCCCCGAAAGGGAACGAGACTCTCCGCCCCCTAGGGGGCACATTGGGGAATGCAGCCTGCATGACCGGTGTCTGAAGCACGTGTGAAACAACGCCAATCTATTGGTCCACTTGGCCCATGACGTCATAGGCGGGATGCCCGGAAGTATAAAAGGGCACCTGCTGAATACATCATCCACTTTAGCTGTCTGAAGGAGATGCAGACAGGCAGGCCGAAGGCATGGCTAGGGGGCGCAGCGTCTCGTTCTCGCTACATGCTTAACCCAAGACATTCCCCTTCTAGGGAACTCAATGCTGCGGAATCCTAGGGGGCACATCGGGAAATGAACTCCAACCACGCCGTGCCGAGGCGTTTGCCTCTCCACCTGGTGGGAGAGCACCAAGGAAGCGACAGACATAAAACAAAACCTTTCCTCAGAAAGGGGCCATGCCACTGACACCACGGGTCGCTCACGCAACTTGGCAGAAACGGGGGAACCCGAATAGATCAAGTGGAACATCCCAACCAAGTTAAGAGCACAGCTATCCTCAAATAGTGAGCAGAACTAGCCTGGATACACAAGACCACTGAAGAGGTTAACTAGAGAGCCTCTAGAGGAGCTCAAGAGATGATACTTAAATCCCAGGTAAAGAGAGTAGCTGCCGAGCTAGAACACAGCTATCTGCAAATAGCTATGTCCCTAAAGTCTTATGAAGGCTTGTGGACCAGAATAACATAGCCAAGATAGCCTTCCTGCAGAGCTGCTCAGACCACAGAGAGTGAGCTATCTACTTACTACCCTAGCAGGGGAGATAGCACTGTCTAGGCAAGGGCTCAAAGAGACCGCTACTTAAAGACCCTAAGAAGGGGAGCAGTCACTGAACTAGCACACAGATATCCTCAGATAGCTATGTACCTTGGAAGGGCTACCAGAAGGGGGACGGACTGAAACTATCCAGACCACAAAGAGTGGGCTGTCTACTTACGACCCAAAGAGGGGAGACAGTACTGTCTAGGTAAGGGCTCAAGAGACCGTTACTTTAAACCCTAAGCAGGGAGCGATCACTGAGCTAGCACATAGCTAGGAAAAGGGCCCACTCCATGAGAGGGCTCACCACAATTGCAGTAGAACACAGCTAGCCCGTCCTGCCAAAAACAATGGCTGAAGGCTATATTAAGGAGGTAAATAATTCGCTAAAGAGTGAACACAAACATCATAGTCCGAGATCAAGCCTGATGTAAGCAGTAGCCACAGCACTAGAGGGCTGGACACAGCTATCCTCGAATAGCAGTTCTCTCAGATAAGGCTGAAGATTGCCCAGGCCACGGAAGTGGGCCATCTATTTAAAACCCCGAAGG